ACTATTGTCGGAATACGTGCATTAAATAAATATAAACACTTGAAAGAATGATGTGCGTAACATAAAGTAAAAAATCCAACATACCTGTGCAACACCCGTGGTGCGACGGGAAGTTAAAGCTGTGTACAATCTGTCGAGTATTTGTTTTGCTGCCTTCTGTTTGTAATCGTGTTTGTGGAAACGCACAAGTAATACGGAATAGAATACTGCGCACGCTATGGCGTCGGATTATTTTCTATCAGCCTTTGACTTCTTGGGGGTGTCTCTGGCTCTCGACCCGGGTTGCTCGTTATCCAAGGTTTAAACAATACTCTCTGTAAAGAAAAGCCTAATCCTTTTTGCAAAGGCTTTGTACTCGAATTCTCGTATGTTTTGTACAGTGTCCCATCGATTGGGATGGTCTATTAGGTTATATCCCAACATAGACTTAAGACGAAGTTTTATCTTTCTGGTCATATTACTGCGTCTTTGGTGTCCTCATAACGTGAAGCCCGCATCTCTAAAATTTTATTACCGGACTCCTTACTAAGGCCTAGGAGTCCATTTGTGAAGTGTTGGACAAAAAACGCCTTCAACTCACAGTCTTCGACATCTACAAGTCGAAGATTGTCAGAGTTGTTGTTTTGGCACTCTACTCTAATTGAAGCGTTAATCCAATACAACAATTTAGGAACAATGTCTTCAATTAACATCATGAACACCGACGCACCATCCACTTATGATCCCTCGCCCCTTTCTAGAGCTTTACTGCCCGTTCGCTCTTTTACTACACGTGCGTGAGCGTGTGCCTTATTCCCCATGTACGAAATCTCTCTCTTATTGTATATTGACTTTTGGTACACTATCTACTTTCCATTGCTTGAGGGTGTCCGTATAACACCCTGATTCCTTCTGTCGTTTCTCTGTTAGTTAAGGAATGATAGGCAATGACAGGGATTTTTCTCTCTTCTTAGTCGCACCTTGAATGTCGTTTGCACGCTTTTTGGCTTTAGCTTTAGATTTAGCTTTAAGTTTGTTTGCCTGTCCTTGTGTTGTGTTGACTTGTGTAGTTGTGTCATCGTTATTGTTGTTGTCTACTACATTCGCTACGTTTAACGCATCCCTTACGCATATTCACGTGATTGCGAGCACCGCTGGTATAGCACTGCCGCCCCATAAACTTCTTGTTCCAATGTTATAGAACATGGCGTAATGGGATGGACTCTATATCCACAGCTAATATACATATGTGAAATGTCCCGCTCTAAAGAAAAATTAATGCATCTAGTACACTTATAACACTGTATTAGTTCTGACTGTCTATCAACAGACGAGCATTCCACGTGTACAGTACTTTGACATAGAGCACATACTGTTTCTCCCTCAGTTGGTTTCTCACAAACACCGCAGCTGTGGGCTAGCCCTGTCGCTGACATTGACTGCGATGCACTATAGTATTCATTGTTGTGTGGTTGTTCATGACTATGAGAATCGTAATTAATCTGCCCTGGTGCATACACTTTGTTGTAATACAATGCAATTTATGGGTCTGTTGCATGCAGTGAATCGATGTCCATCGATTCACTATTGATGTCTTGAATTCCATCGATGTTGTAGTCATTATTGTTTGCACTATAGCTTTCTTGTTGTCTGTTGTTAGAAGATGGTGGCCTTAGCCCTGCACCGGCGTTTCGTGCCATTATCATCAGTAACACACAGTCACACTCACTCAAAAATAGCGATTGTAGTAACGTGCATGCGTTTGCGTGCAGTTTCGCATACTACAGACATACAAAAACAATTCATGTACATGCGTTATTACGGTGATTTAACCCAAAATTTAATTCCGGTTCGATTCCGATAAAAATCAATGTAAATTAAACCATTCTGTGCGTAAACGGGTGTAATATAAAATACGACTGCAAATACTGCGACTTGTAGTATTCCACAAAAAAAATTTAGAGCCAAAATTTGAGAAAACTGCGAACCGAAGCATTCTTTGACACTGGTGATATACCCAGCTGATGGAGAGTGGCCTCTGAACCTGTCGAGGTGGGAGGGGGGAGGCGAAAATCAATTTTCAATGTAGAATCCCCTACATCCTGTTCTGATTGGGTCTCTTAGCCCCCTTTAAAAAAGAACGAAAACGTGTATGTCTGTATGTATATATATTTGTTTTTCTTTTTTCTAGAAAGAAAAAGAAATCAGAAATGGCTACTCTGTTGTTGACTGTACTCAAGCAGTCAGCGGTCCGCCACCCAGTCACCCCAGGGGCCCAGTGTCCCACAGTCCCAGCCACCCAGGCACCCACTCTCTTGACTCCTCTGACTCCTGAAGGCTCTCTCTCGTTCCTCTGATCCTCTCTCTCTCGCTTCTCTTGTGTTGTGACAGTGCTAGTCTCTTTGAAGTTTGAACTTTGAACAGGTGGTGTCACTGGTGTGGTGTATTGTATAATATTTAGAACAAACCAAATTAAAAAAAAATTGTACATATTGTATGTAAATATGTTAAAACCTCTCTAGCTAGTGTCAGTGATAGATACTGAATGCTAATATCGGTCTTTCGTGAGCCTGTGCTTTACCCTTAGATTCCTGGTATATCCTTTAGAATAAACAGTTAGGGTAGTCATCTACCTTTATATATTCAGTCCCCGCGAAGTTAGTCGGCTTTTCATTGGAATCAATATGGATATGGACATTCCTCTTCCGGGGCCTTTGCCTGATGACACTCTCAATACACTCAAGGTTGGTTTCAAATGTGTTAGCAGAGCAAACAATACAATAGAGAACTGCGTTTGTAGTAAGCTAAATTATGTCTATGATTTGCCTTTTTCTGGATGCCTACAATCAATAGGACGCTGAGTTATATATATAAAATACCTAAACATAAACCCAATTAGACGCATCATTTAT